TTTTTCCCTTACAATGGACGCTCTTATAATTGCCCGCGAGCTTGATTCGCGGCTTTTCGATATTTTAATTATGCAGAATTATACATTATACTATTTTGTACTATCCTGCTGATTTTTATTCCTAAATCTTAAAAATTGAGAAAGTAATTAATTTTAAAAGATGGAAAAGTTATGTTTTAAGCACTTTTTCCCTTACAATGGACGCTCTTATAATTGCCCGCGACCTTGATTCGCGGCTTTTCGATATTTTAATTATGCAGAATTATACATTATACTATTTTGTACTATCCTGCTAATTTTCATTCCTTAATCTTGATAATTGGCAAAGTAATTAATTTTAAAAGATGGAAAAGTTATGTTTTAAGCACTTTTTCCCTTACAATGGACGCTCTTATAATTGCCCGCGAGCTTGATTCGCGGCTTTTCGATATTTTAATTATGCAGAATTATACATTATACTATTTTGTACTATTCTGCTGATTTTCATTCCTAAATCTTTAAAATTGAAAAAGTAATTAATTTTAAAAGATGGAAAAGTTTATGTTTTAAGCACTTTTTCCCTTACAATGGGACGCTCTTATAATTGCCCGCGAGCTTGATTCGCGGCTGTTTCGATATTTTAATTATGCAGAATTATACATTATACTATTTTGTATATTCTGCTGATTTTCATTCCTAAATCTTGAAAATTGAAAAAAGTAATTAATTTTAAAAGATGGAAAAGTTATGTTTTGAGCACTTTTTCCCCAAAATGGACGCTCTTATAATTGCCCGCGACCTTGATTCGCGGCTTTTCGATATTTTAATTATGCAGAATTATACATTATACTATTTTGTACTATCCTGCTAATTTTCATTCCTTAATCTTAAAAATTGAGAAAGTAATTAATTTTAAAAGATGGAAAAGTTATGTTTTAAGCACTTTTTCCCCTACAATGGACGCTCTTATAATTGCCCGCGACCTTGATTCGCGGCTTTTCGATATTTTAATTATGCAGAATTATACATTAAACTATTTTGTATAATTCTGCTGATTTTTATTCCTTAATCTCAAAAATTGAGAAAGTAATTAATTTTAAAAGATGGAAAAGCTATGTTTTTAGCACCTTTTTCCCAAAAATGGACGCTCTCATAACTGCCCGCGAGCTTGATTCGCGGCCTTTTCATATTTTAATTATGCAGAATTACACATTTGACTGTTCTGTATTGTCCTGCTAATTTTCATTCCTTAATCTTAATAATTGAGAGAGTAATTAATTTTAAAAGATGAAAAGCTATGTTTTAAGCACCTTTTTTTCCAAAAATGGACGCTCTCATAACTGCCCGCGAGCTTGATTCGCGGCTTTTCGATATTTCAATTATACAGAATTCTACATCAGACTTATATTTATAATTTTGCCATTTTTTATCTTTCAATGTTGATAATTAAAAAAATTCTCAATTATGAACGATGAAAAAATCATGTTCCATTGTCATTTATTCGAAATTTGCATTTTTTACAATGCGATATGCTAATTGGAAATATTCGAGAATTTCGGATATGTAACCTGGCTCTGATTTATTGTTTACCTCGTTGTTTCTTTAATGAATTTTTTCATCCATGTTATCAATGTTTTCTGCTATCTAAATCACCTAAAAATTCAAACATTCATCTACATACTGACTCAGTACTGGTTCGGTTGACGTTTGGTCAACGACTGCTGGCCTTTCCATCTGCAGCCTACTCATTTGGACTGCTGCGACATCTGTGGTCGCAGTTAGTACTGAGCGTTCTACTGCGACATTAAATCCTATTGCCCTGGGCTTCTATGGGTCTGTATTCTTTGGTGTGACACTGTCAGTGTCGACCATACTATAGCAAAAACCTAATGCCAACTAAAGCTTGGTAACTTCAATACTTTCATTGGCAACACTACTTTTTCACAACGACCAGCAAATTAATGATTGGCTTTTAAAAAAAATAATGGATAATACAGGTAAATTGAGAAAATTATCAGATATAAAAGTTTTTCGTTATGAAATTAAGGTAGTATCTTTTATTATTTACACAATATAATGCTATGTAAATGTCAATGTATGTATAATCTCAAAATTCGCATTTTTTTTAAACATTTTTTTAAAAAATTTTTTTTCTCCTAGTAACTTTTATAAGCTGCCCTCTATCGAAACACAATAAAAATAAATGTAACATTTATAAAATTAGTCGACACAGTGTCAAACACAGAGAGGTTTTCTTTAAGGCTGGGCTGAAGTCAGAAAGTTTCCCGGAGTTGACTTTACGCCCTCGCGTTGTGCGGCAAAAGACTGAAGCTTGACATCAACTGAAATTGAGTAGGTAACAGGGAAATCGTTCGAAAAATGATAATTTTCAGGGATGCACTACAAAAAGGGAGCCTTAGGGCACCAAGAAATTTACAAATTTTAGAATAATCTGTTCCGAGCAAGACAAAGTAGAGAATGTATATATCTATCTCCGTCTTATTTTTTAGAGAAGACTGCGAGTTCGAACAGTTGACGAGCAAGCACATCCCCCACCCTCTGTTGCCAAGCCTGAAGCTTATGATATCTAAACGTAAACAAAGCAAATGAAAATATGCTGGCTCTGTAGTCAGAAGATTCGACATTTAAGCCCCGTCTACAATAGGACATTAGACATTAAACTTTAGGAATAAGAAACAAAACTTAGTCCATAGGAACGGAACATTAAACACTATCGTAAACATAAGCGGAAATGTCGATGCTTTATTTAATGTATATGTGTACTTTAAATTTTATTTATGTAAAGTGGTGATTTTTAAATTTATTCAAATACCTAGTGCAAATAATGAAGAAGAAATATATATTAGTGTATTTATGTGCGAAAATTTTATAAATAAATGATTTTTATTAATTCAAAACAATTAATATTTTTGAAAAATAATCATTTGGATAAAATTGTGTATAAGCCTGATACGTAATTTTATTTAACTGAGTGTTAATTACATAATTACATCTCTTGAAAGGTATTGTATTATTATATTTCATTATAAATATAATAAATAATTATTTTGATATTTATTAGTTTCATCTAATTTACAGAACTGCTAATTCTACTTTGTCGTTTAATCTTTTCTGGAAAAAATATTGAATGAAATGAGTTATTCAAATCATAAACATAAACGGAGTAAATATATTGAACTTGATCGAAGAAAAATTTCTAAAGATTGTTATTTACATGAATTATTAAGCCATCAAGAAAAAAAGCAACGATGGTTCAAGCTCTAGAGCATCAAATGAATATTCACAAACAATATCAGAATAAAAGGATGAAAAAAATGATAGCTTTTCATTTACAAAATTTCGTTATGAACTACACAAAGTTTTCATTCCTAATCCTTTTTTAGTTCAAGATCCAGAAGATTTTTGGGCTTTTGTTAAAAAATATCAAGCTAAGCTTGAAAAGTCTGGGATAAATACTTCCAAAAATCCTGAATTAAATTCAATTGGTGTTCCCAAGAAGTTTCATAAAAATTATTGCATCAATCTAAAAATTAATATTTGAAAATAAACTGGCTAAATTTAAAGGAATACCTGTTTTGTATTTAGATTTTAAACAAAAAGAAAAATTTGCAAAATTGAAAAAGCTCAGAGAAAGTCAAGAAAATTTGCCTGTGGCGAAATATCGAGATGAAATAGTGGAAGCTGTAAAAAATGAAAAAGTAGTTATAATTGTTGGAGATACAGGATGTAGAAAATCAAAACAAGTGCCTCAATATTTTTTCATTCTGCCGGTTTTGGAAGAACTGCTTGTACTCAACCACGAAGAATAGCTTGTATTTCTTTAGCAAAACGATTTGTTTTTGAAGCATTAACAGAAAATTTGAATGAAATAGGATATCAAATAAGATTCGAGAAACAAAAAAATCAACAGACTAGAATTTTATTCATCACAGAAGGTTTACTTTTAAGACAAGTATCTGATGATACTGAATTATCTCAATATGATGTTGTAATTCTCGATGAAATTCATGAGCGACATTTGTATGGGGATTTATTATTAAGAATTGTGGAATGTCTGATTCATCAGAAGAGATCTAATATGAAACTGGTTCTGATGTCTGCGACAATAAATATTCAATTATTTAGCAATTATTTGGCCAAAGAAGATGTTCCAGTTATTCAAGTCCTTGGTAGGCTATATTCCATTCAGTTGATGTATCGACCTGCTGGTATTGAAGAAACAAGATTTAAAAATGATCGCTTTAATTCAAGTCATGCAAATAATAGATCAAAAATATCCTAGTAAGTAATCTTATAAAATAACTAAGAGATCAAGGTGATATAATTTTTTTCCTTCTATTTCAGGTACAGAAAAAGGTAATTTATTAATTTTCTTCAGTTGAATGATTGAAATAGCTGTAGTGGTGGATGCGGCAAAAGAATATGCTCGAAAAAAAAATAATTAGATTATTTTACCACTCTATAGTACACTATCAATTGCAGAACAAGACAAAGTTATCGATTATCCTCCAGAAGGTGTAAGAAAATGTATTGTTTCGATCAACATTGCAGAGCCATAAATCACCATTGATGTTATAAGATTTGTAGCAGACAGAGGGAAAGTCAAAGATATAAGTTATGATTCTTCATGTAAAATGCAGAGGCTCAAGGAATTTTGAATTAGTAAAGCAAGTGAAGAACAGAGGAAAGGAAGAGCAGGAAAAACAGGACCAGGTGTTTGTTACAGAATAATTCCCGAAGAAGAATATAATGCATTGAACAGATATTCAACTCCAGAGATTCAACGAGTTCCTTTAGACTCTTTTTTATTACAAATGAGAATTCGATTTTGTCTTTGAAAGAACATGGAGCTTTGACAGAAAATGAATAACTTGCTTGTATAACTTTTGTAACAATAATTAGAATTTATTTCCATACATAAACTTTATTAAATACAAATAAAGATTGTATTTGTGTACCAATATATAAATTTTTTATTCAATATCATTAGTTTTAGATTAAAAAGTTGTTAATATTTTTTTCAAGAATATAAATTATTAATTACGCAATAAATTTATTCACTATCTGATTCCAAATTTTCAACAATAACTTTCAATAATTTTTTTCTCAAAGTCTTTTTCTTTGATCCTGTACTCTCTTGTAATTCTCTTAAAATCATTTTGCATAACGCCTCATCTCTACTTTCCTCTTTATTTAATATTTTTTCGTTTATTTTTTGGATCGAAGAACTAACTGTACTAAATGCTTTTAACATTTCACTTGACTCATTACATTTTCCTTTAGTTTTTTTGTAAGAATGTTCTTCTTTTATTATACACCTTGACTTATTAGCTTCATTTATTTTTTGTTTCTTTGATTTTTTTTCTTCTTCTGAATTTTTATTTTCTAAGTCATCTTTTTCTTTGAAACTTGAATACGTTCTGTAACAATTAATTAACTTTCTAAAAGCTATAAAAAACATAAATCAGTTTTATTTTTTTCATTAATTTAACTCTAAAAATTTGTTAGATTAGAATAAACTATATCACCTTAAAATGTCAATTAATTTTGTGAACATGAGTTTGTAGTATATTTACCTTCTCCTGTGCATTGTTTCTTCTAAAAAATTTATCACTTTATATAGTGGCCAAGGCTTTCGAACCTCTCCCTTGCTACCACTTCTTGCTTCGTCTCCTCTTTTCTTTCTCTCTTTAGAAAAATACCCTCTCAACCTTTTCCATCGTGATTGACAATTGTGAGCTATAATAAAATTGAAATTTTTAAATAAATAAAATGTAGTTTTTGAAACTGCCATTTTTTAGATCTAATTTTATCTACTCATATTTAAAAAACTAAAAAAAATTTGATCTAAGTAAATCTATGGATATCTAGTAAGATCACTGTATATCTATACAAATTACAGTATGTCTATGAAGATTTCCATTGATCTCGATGATAAAAAAAATTTAATACATCTACAGAAATCACAGAAGATTTAAAGTGACCAAAACAGATGTACACAGAACAAAGTAGATCTAATTGTGGCAAAAAAAAGATCTAAATAGATCAATGTAGATCTATTTTATTTTTAAATCTTACAAGTCATATCCATAGCTGATGCTATTTCTGACCATGACGTCTCCTTCATTTGATGATCCTTATAGTTTTCATTATTCTTATCCCACAAATGCTCATATGATCTCACTAACGATATTAATAATTCATCTCCTTGTTTCGCTTCTTCAGACATTTTCTTATAATTATCTCTCACTACAGATATCAACTTTAATGAAATGAACACAGAAAGATGTAACACAAAAATTGTTTTGTTCAAAAACAATTGGCAGATTTGAATAGAATTTTTCTTTGAAGTTTTTCAATGAAAAGCTAAATAAATAATTAAGTGAACATAAATTTGTCATTTAAAAAATATGGATCGTGATTTAGAACTAAATATTGTTCTTTTAAATTGTGAATTATTAATGCTGATGATCAAGCATATTTTAAATATTAAAAAAAATAAAAACAAACGTTCCAGAAAGTGGTAGATACATCCCATTAATCAGCAACGACAAAAATTAGGATATTTCAACACTCTCTTTCAGGAATTAAAAAACTTTCCTGATCAATTTTTTAATTATACCAGAATGATTCAGCAATCATTTTATAAATTATTAGAAGAAGTATCTCCATATCTGACCAAAAATAGTCGTCGTCAATCTAACTTTAAATGGCTCAAAATTTTTTTTCAACGTTTTTCAAGCTGTGGTATATTTTGATCTAATCTCTCAAGTTTCTCATCACGATATTATGATTTCCACAAAGTGTTGCCCCAGTTTTGATCTCGATTAGAATTATTTGGATTTTCTAGAAGCTGAAAGAGAATTGTTAATAGATGATTTATTGTAATTCAGCAATATAATCTGAATTATAATAAAAGTTTTAGATTAAATCACATAATCAATTTATTTATCTCAAAGTTAACTTACTTTTAATTAATATTTCTATTGTGGTCACCATGAAGTCCTCTAAAAACGTAGTCAAGCTGCCATGGTACTTGACCGTCTTGACTCATGAACCATGTGGACAAATTGTTTCTCTGCTCGTGTGCTTCTGCAATTGATTGACGAGCGTTCGTTTGAGATAGTGGTTATATATTACTTGGTTCTGTTTCACAATCAGAATCCAAATCTATAAAACTATTTTGCACATTGTACATTCTTTGTTCATGAAATATAAGAAAATTATGAAGACTAACACATGCAGCAACAATGTGATCAGTATTTGTTAAACTCTTATGAATACTTCTTTTTAGTACTCTCCATTTACTCGATAAAATTCCAAAAGTATTTTCAATGGTTCGTCGTGCTCGAGACAAACGATAATTAAAAACTTTCTGAGTTGTAGTGAGTTCATGACCTGGATATGGTCTCATCATATGGCGTGAAATTTTGAAAGCTTCATCTCCAACAAAAAAATGGTGAGTAAACATATTAGATCCTGGTAATTTTGTTTTTTCTTTTGGCAGGTTTAATTTATCCTCTTCTAAAACTTTTCCAAATGAAGATCTTGCAAAAATACCACCATCACTTTCACTTCCATATGCACCAATATCAACAAAGGTAAATTTATATTCATGATCACACACTGCCAAGAGTACGGTACTAAATGTTTTTTTATAATTGTAGCACATGGTTCCTGATTTAGGTGGAGCAATTATTTCAATATGTTTTCCGTCAATGGCACCAATACAATTAGGCATGTTCCATTTTTGATAAAAACCATCAGAAATAGCTTTCCATTGATCACTATCTGGAGCTTTAATATATTTTGGCATTAAAACTTGGGCCAACACAACACACGTTTCATTAATAATTGAATGATGTGTTGATCTTCCAATACGATATTCGACTGCCTGAGATGATACTTCATCACCTGTAGCTAAATACCTAAAGGACATATTTTATTTGAAAAATGATTTGCAATAAGGTAGTGTCGCTGAAGATGGCCCGGCTCCTAGGATAGCCCACTTTTAATTTAAAATTTCGCGGTACCATAGACAACACTATTGTCTATGGTACTAGTAGCATAAACCCGCGAAATTTCAAATTAAAAGTGGGCTATCCTAGGAGCCGGGCCATCTTCGGCGACACTACCTTAATAAATTTTTTCTAAACTTCAACATTAAGGACGATCAAGTTGTTATGATAATTGTAATAATGCAAATATGTTTTCTGATAGAAAATCTCAAGCCGAGTATTTGTATTTGTATTTATATTTGAATACTTCTCAGAAGGTATTTTTTACAAGTCTGAAAAATATATACCTCAATGTTATTAGCAACCGATGTTCTGCTGAGATAGATTGACGACGACTATTTTTGGTCAGATATGGAGATACTTCTTCTAATAATTTATAAAATGATTGCTGAATCATTCTGGTATAATTAAAAAATTGATCAGGAAAGTTTTTTAATTCCTGAAAGAGAGTGTTGAAATATCCTAATTTTTGTCGTTGCTGATTAATGGGATGTACCTACCACTTTCTGGAACGTTTGTTTTTATTTTTTTTAATATTTAAAATATGCTTGATCATCAGCATTAATAATTCACAATTTAAAAGAACAATATTTAGTTCTAAATCACGATCCATATTTTTTAAATGACAAATTTATGTTCACTTAATTATTTATTTAGCTTTTCATTGAAAAACTTCAAAGAAAAATTCTATTCAAATCTGCCAATTGTTTTTGAACAAAACAATTTTTGTGTTACATCTTTCTGTGTTCATTTCATTAAAGTTGATATCTGTAGTGAGAGATAATTATAAGAAAATGTCTGAAGAAGCGAAACAAGGAGATGAATTATTAATATCGTTAGTGAGATCATATGAGCATTTGTGGGATAAGAATAATGAAAACTATAAGGATCATCAAATGAAGGAGACGTCATGGTCAGAAATAGCATCAGCTATGGATATGACTTGTAAGATTTAAAAATAAAATAGATCTACATTGATCTATTTAGATCTTTTTTTTGCCACAATTAGATCTACTTTGTTCTGTGTACATCTGTTTTGGTCACTTTAAATCTTCTGTGATTTCTGTAGATGTATTAAATTTTTTTTATCATCGAGATCAATGGAAATCTTCATAGACATACTGTAATTTGTATAGATATACAGTGATCTTACTAGATATCCATAGATTTACTTAGATCAAATTTTTTTTAGTTTTTTAAATATGAGTAGATAAAATTAGATCTAAAAAATGGCAGTTTCAAAAACTACATTTTATTTATTTAAAAATTTCAATTTTATTATAGCTCACAATTGTCAATCACGATGGAAAAGGTTGAGAGGGTATTTTTCTAAAGAGAGAAAGAAAAGAGGAGACGAAGCAAGAAGTGGTAGCAAGGGAGAGGTTCGAAAGCCTTGGCCACTATATAAAGTGATAAATTTTTTAGAAGAAACAATGCACAGGAGAAGGTAAATATACTACAAACTCATGTTCACAAAATTAATTGACATTTTAAGGTGATATAGTTTATTCTAATCTAACAAATTTTTAGAGTTAAATTAATGAAAAAAATAAAACTGATTTATGTTTTTTATAGCTTTTAGAAAGTTAATTAATTGTTACAGAACGTATTCAAGTTTCAAAGAAAAAGATGACTTAGAAAATAAAAATTCAGAAGAAGAAAAAAAATCAAAGAAACAAAAAATAAATGAAGCTAATAAGTCAAGGTGTATAATAAAAGAAGAACATTCTTACAAAAAAACTAAAGGAAAATGTAATGAGTCAAGTGAAATGTTAAAAGCATTTAGTACAGTTAGTTCTTCGATCCAAAAAATAAACGAAAAAATATTAAATAAAGAGGAAAGTAGAGATGAGGCGTTATGCAAAATGATTTTAAGAGAATTACAAGAGAGTACAGGATCAAAGAAAAAGACTTTGAGAAAAAAATTATTGAAAGTTATTGTTGAAAATTTGGAATCAGATAGTGAATAAATTTATTGCGTAATTAATAATTTATATTCTTGAAAAAAATATTAACAACTTTTTAATCTAAAACTAATGATATTGAATAAAAAATTTATATATTGGTACACAAATACAATCTTTATTTGTATTTAATAAAGTTTATGTATGGAAATAAATTCTAATTATTGTTACAAAAGTTATACAAGCAAGTTATTCATTTTCTGTCAAAGCTCCATGTTCTTTCAAAGACAAAATCGAATTCTCATTTGTAATAAAAAAGAGTCTAAAGGAACTCGTTGAATATCTATTCAATGCATTATATTAGCAGTTCTGTAAATTAGATAAAACTAATAAATATCAAAATAATTATTTATTATATTTATAATGAAATATAATAATAAAATACCTTTCAAGAGATGTAATAATGTAATTAACACTCAGTTAAATAAAATTACGTATCAGGCTTATACACAATTTTATCCAAATGATTATTTTTCAAAAATATTAATTGTTTTGAATTAATAAAAATCATTTATTCAATAAAAATTAATGATTTATTTTTTCGAATTATAAAAATGCATTCATTTATAAAATTTTCGCACATAAATACACTAATATATATTTCTTCTTCATTATTTGCACTAGGTATTTGAATAAATTTAAAAATCACCACTTTACATAAATAAAATTTAAAGTACACATATACATTAAATAAAGCATCGACATTTCCGCTTATGTTTACGATAGTGTTTAATGTTCCGTTCCTATGGACTAAGCTTTGTTTCTTATTCCTAAAGTTTAATGTCTAATGTCCTATTGTAGACGGGGCTTTATTTTACCGAATGGTGTTCGATTCCAATTGCGGCAAAATTGTTTTTTATTTAAATTGCATGTAATTGCAATTCTATCATGCCAAAAATGAGTTTTAAATTTCAATTTTTATGTAAAATTATTTTTCAATTAATCGATGACAAATGAGACAATATTTGAACAGGGCCATTAACCTTTTTTTGTACAAATACATTGATAATAGCCTTTTTTAACAACTTATTAACAATAAAAAATAGTTTAAACAATCCGCGGCGAGTTCCGACACTTCGCCGGCAAGCTCGACCCCCACTTTCTGTGCCCAAGCCTGTAGCTTATAATTTTCAAGCATCGTTTGTGTAATTGGAACTATAATAGCTCAGTGGTTAGAGCACCAATCTTTCATTTCGCTGAGCAGGGTTCGATCCCAGTCATGGGCAATTTTTTTTTCTTTTCTTTGCTTAAGTGACTTTATATACTTATAAATTAATTCATATATTTTATTAAATTATTCTTCCAATTGATTACGGAAAACAACTTGTTTTTCTGAAAATAAGCTGGGGATGAAGAACGAGTTACTATGAATTCTCTTTTTTCGAAAATGTTGTCTTTAAAAGGCAATAGGAATTGATTTTGAACTTATATAAGCAACCAATTATTGTATTTATATAAAATTTTAATGGAAAAAAAAATTGGCTATGACTGGGATCGAACCCCAATCGGTAAGATGAAAGCTTGGTGTTCTTCTCACAGAGCTAACACATAATCTCCAACATTACGTTTATGTTTATAAATTGTGTAATGCAGGCTTGAGTACGAAGGGTAGGGATAGAGTTTGCCAGCAAAGTGCCGGAAATCCCCGTGGATTATTTCAACTACTTCTAAATATTTCTAAATTGCTTAAAAAAAAACTACGTTCATATAGCTATAGTAAAAAAAGTGTTTATAACCCTGTTCATGTTTTCAGACTCGGGGTCGATAAATTACATAAATAATTGAGAAAAAAAAATCAAATCGTTGGTAAGAATTCATTTTAGCATGTTAATATTATAATTACATGCAAATCTAACAAATAAAAGAGAAAAAAAAAACTTTATCATGACTGGAATCAAACCCTGCCTAGCAAAATAAAAGACCGATGCTGTAACCACTGAGCTGTTATGGTTTCAGTACGCTCATGTATGCTTAAAAATTATAAGCTGCAGGCTTGGGCACAGAGAGTAGGGGTAGAGCTTGCCGGAAAAGTGACACAGATTGTTTAAACTACTTTTCAATGTTAATAACAATATGATTAACTTGTTAATAACATGTTAATAACATAACATTGTTAATACATGTAAAGATGTATAAGTTGTTAAACACAGGCTTATCAATGAATTTATACAAAAAAAAAGTTTATGGCTCTGTTTAAATATTTTCCGACTTATCGTCGATAAATTCAATGAGTAAAGAGAAAAAAAAATCAAATCGTTATAAAGGATTAATTATGGCATGTCAATATTATAATTACATGCTAATCTAGCGAATAAAGTAGAAAATAAAGTGATTATGACTGGGATCGAACCCTGCCCGGCAAAATAGACCTCTGACGCTCTAACCACATGGCCAGCATAATCTCGGTATTGTGTTTATGTGTATTTGTTTTTACACTACATGCTTGGATACGCCGACTTGGAATTGAGCTTCTTTATTAACATTTATACCTAATAAAAATGATAATAATGGATGAATATATGTATTTGAAGTTGTTTGCAGATATTATATTAATTAATGTTAAATGAGTATCATCATTTTTATTTATTCTAACTGCAATAGTTATCAAAGTATAAGGCATTGTGAAGTGATACACTATGTTTACATGACATACATATATTAGACGTACACACTCATACACAAATTACTTACCAAAATGCAGGGCACCATCAGTTCTGGATACGGATTGAGCATTTTTTCAATATGGATGACTGAGGTCATCTACGAGCATAATGCTGTCACCTATCGGAATTTTTTCAAACTTATTTTCCGGAGAATATCATCTGGAATACAATATTTCTAATTATTTCTAAATTATTCAATTTTATACTATGAATTGATTTTTTCGACATTCAGATAGGTAGCAAGGACTGACGCAAACACGAATTTTGGGCGAAAAACGTATGAAAATGAAATAATTAGTGATTTTTTATTTGAATGATGTGGCCGCCATCTTGGAATTTAAGCGCGGTAAGTCAATTCATAATTTTTTCATTATTCTTTCTAATTTTTTTAATAAAAATATTCACTATATACAAAAAATTGTTGTTTATGTCAGTCCGGCATTAATTCCTCTGTAATTTGGTACCTAATTTTATAGAAATAATAGTAAATTGGCGAAGAAATTAGAAATATCCCGATCCCATGTATTTGGATAGGGGGAGTCAGTTGCCTCTCTGACTTCAGCCCAGCCTTAATACAAAGAACAATTTTTACCGGTATAACACCCGGCTTTTTATGGATTAGAAACACACGTTTTGTCGAATACCTTCATAGGTTAGAGCATTAGAAATAACATTAACAGTGATTAAATTTTATAATCGGTATTATCATTATTATTAAGTTTTAAACGATATAGATTAGGCGAATAATCAAATATCAATAAAAATGCAACCTGAAATAAGAGAAAAAAATTGTAAAGAAATTTTGTTTCAACGAATATTATTGGCTATAATATCAAGTGTTACTTTACAATTCATATTAATTAGCTGCATTGCTTTAGTAGTTAACATAATAAATATTATAACAAACCCACTATCATCAATTGAAAGTACTTGGACCATATTCTCATCTCCAAAAGTATGGTGTTATTTGATCGTCGTTGCAATCATAATCGCTATGGAAGGTATCATATGTAGTAAAAATTACTTGAATTCTCCTCCTATGTATAATGACAGCAGATTTATCATCTTTTGTAAATTATTTACTCCATATAATTTAATGATTGGAGGAATTTATATTTTTTCTGGAATAATATTACTGTTAGTATATTTAACATTACAACACAATGAATCGAACAACAATATCTTCATTCAAACTTGCAAAATGATGTATGGAATATGCCTAATTGAAGAACATCTATTTTTGATTGTTGGAGGTTTTTGGACTGGAATTTACTATTACATAAAAAGTAATGTATTTAATTTGAATGAAAGATTAAATTTTCCAATCATTCCACAGTCAAAACTTCCTCAAATTGTCGAAGGTATCTATGGTATATTATCATTATCAATGACAAGTGCTATCTGGCCAACCGTTTATTATTTTATTTTATATTACTTTTTTGGTTCTTATATACGAGGTAGCACAACAATTATTATTTATTCATTGAAACTCGAGCAAGAACCATTAGATACAATATGGAAATTATTCAATTTATCATTAATATTTAATATGTGGCTTTATATATCACTTTTTGCCTTAACAATAACAAGTATGCAATTTCTCTTTCATATTTTTCTTACTGAATGGATGCAGTTTCAAATTGGACAAAATATTTATAACGATGACAATATACAGAATAAGCGAATAATAACACTATCAGATGCATTATCTATGAATAAGGTACCAATAATCCAATATCTAGGATATTTGGATTTAGTTACATTGGCACAAAAAGAAAAATACCGCAGAAGTATTTTATTTACATTAAGTCAACCTGGTGGACACCCGTATAACTGGAACTCTGTAATTCAAAAGTGTTTATCCCTTATTGAAGAATTCTCAAATGAAATTATTAAGTCTACAATAATATCATCCACAAAGGCTGAGGAACAAAACCCTGAAAAAATTTCACCTCTATCACTAAATATACAAAGACCATTTTTTGAGAAACGCGAACTTTTAATGACAAGTAAAATGAGAAACTTAACTACTGCTAAATCACAAACAGCTAATCCAACTATACCACAAATTATAGTTACTCAACACGACTTATCTTTTGTTAGCTGGCAATTTATAAATGAGCTTATAAAAACAACAAAAATGAATGTCACTACATATTTATTATCTAAACCATTGATTTTTTATCTTTTTGGTACTCCGAGTAATAGTAAAACACAATATCTAATAATAAATGGCCAATCTGTAATTTGGGCTGCTGATAGTATTTCGTCACTGGCTGTAGCATCACTTGAAGAAGATTCATATGGAATTGTACAAAAAGATCTACCGTCTATTATTTATACATTAATTAATCTCAAACAATCACTTGACAAATTTTATAAGATGAATTTGTTAACTAAAAAACCTCAACATTATGATAAACAAGTTAGGCAAATGTTGACATCTTTGAGAGTGGCAAATAAGCGAAGTATCTACAGAATAACAACAGCATTTAAAAATTACATTGATGATTTAATTTTTGATCAGCAATTAAAAGATCAATTAAACAACTTTTTTGTTTGTAAAGAATAAATTGATGAATATAATTGTTTATTTAAATGGATGTGTGTATAATTAGCATTTTTTATAATTATTTCTTTCTACTATTTTCAACTTGTTCAATGTTATAAATATCTTGTCAATAAATTTTTTTTACTTCCTCAAATAATTGTTTTTAAATATACAAAATTACTTATTTATCAATTATATACGTACAAATTAATTACATTTTTTCAAATATTTAAGTACACTTATATTGTAAAACAATTTTTTACGTAATCGACACCAATGTTTAAGTTGATAGTCTTTTAAATGAGCAAGATATTTTACTATTTTATCTTCATTTTGAATTTTAATACCATTAACTTTGAGTAGAACTCCTAAATACACTTGAGCTAATTCAAAATCTTGTTTAGATTTTATCATAAATTTTATCATTTTTAAAAATTGTAGAGTTAGATCCACAAAATATGTAGGATTTGTAGAAAGTGATTGAATTTCGAAATCAATCATACTAGGACCTAAAGATTTCAATTTATTGACAACTGAGATATAATCGCAAGTTTTTATAGTATCTTGTAATAATTTTCCAATAATTGATAAATTATTAAAATTAGAAGATATTGTCAATCGACTATTATCATCAGGATTCTTAGCGTTGGATAAATCAAATTGTAAATCTAAAGAAGGTATTGTTGGGAGAAAAAATGGAGCTGATTCTGTTGCTGTTTTAACATTTTGTGGTTTGTTTTTCTTTCTGACAATATCAATGTTTAATAAATTCTGCCATCTTGAGTTAGCTAATGAGGACATTGTAATAAGCTTTGAATCAATTTTTGTCGGAGAAACATAGTTGTCATTAGCTTCATTTTTATCAATTCCGTAATCATTTTCTGAATAGCAACTATTTTCTTGAAGTACTCCTGGTAAATTAATTAATGGTATATTACTTAAAGATATAGTTTGTAACGATATATGATCGAATAACGTCCGATTTGACCATAAAAAAATTCCTAAATTGGACATATGAACTGTTGCGAGATATTCTCCAGTGGGTGAAAAATCTAGTGATATACACGCTTCAGGTACCTATTGTTAATTTTTAAAAACGATTAATAAACTTAACAATTTTGAATTTGACTGTTATTTTTACCTTGAAAATATCAATAAGCTGTGCTGATGGAATATCCCAGGTACGTATAGTACAATCCATAGAAGCAGTAATTAACCATCTAGAGTCAGGATTGAATGTTGCATCTGTTAAATGACCAGTATGCCCTTGGAAATTACGAACTATACGTTTTGTGTCGAGATCAATTAATATAACAGTAAAATCTTCTAAAGCAACAGCAACAAGAGAACTTTCTTTGTGACCCCTTAGCCATTTTACACCTTCACTTAATTTTATTGTTGATTTTGGAGTTTTATCTGTAAAAAATATTATTGATGAAAAATTACAATTTTTAATACTAGTATTCCAATAACAAATGAAGTATTTCATAAATTTACCTTTATTGGGCGTAAAAGCCCAAAATTTAATTTCAGTATCACGTCCAGCTGACATAACAAATTGATTAAGAGGATCTACGATAAGTCCTTTGATGGGTCCTCTATGTGCTTCATTTCCATCTATACCATATGTAGCTCTATGTATTCCTGATTGAATATTATATCTGTCTATATGTCCAGTAGAATATCCGATTATAACAAAATTACCACATTGAGTTAAACATAGAGCAGTTACATTGGCATTGTAATTCTTTTTAAATCTATTAGGAAGAAGTTTATGTTCACCCATTCGTAATTTATCATATGACCATGTCGTTATTAATCCTAAACCTAGATGAGCTGCAGCAATATTATCCCATTCTTTCTCTCGTGTTTTTTCACATACAAAATTTATTATCGGTGGCATTATTAAATGATCATTAATGATTTTGTTGCCTTTCTTCTTTGAAAGTTTTCTATTGAAAGAAGCTTTACCTAAACTTTTATTAAAAATTTCTGTCACTGTAGAAAATATTCTCAGAGTACTATCGCCAGCTGCAGATAATATATTGTGACCATCATCACTATAAAATCGAATATGAGTTGGAGGTTCTGAATGACCTTCTCTCATTCTTAATAATCTAGCTGAATTATCGGACACATCACATATCCATAATTTCAATGAATTATCAGATGATGAAGAAACAATTAGTTGTTCATTTGGTAAATATTTTAATCCAGAAACTGCTCTAAAATGTGCATTTAAAATTTGGCTTTCAACTTTTCTCTCTTCAAGATTCCAGAAAACAATATGACCGTTAAGTGTTCCTGTTGCCATTACTGGGTAATTAATCGTGTCATCAGTTCTAAAAGAAATAGATGTAACTAAACCCCAATCTTGTATTAATTCAAATATTTTTATGTCTTTTTTAATATTATGTAATATTATTTTTCCGTTAGCTAAACCAATAGCTACTACATGAAGAGCAGGCGCTTGTTCGATAACAGTCACACTCGAATTCCATCCATCAAAAAAATAAAGCATTTTAGAGGTTTTAACATTCCATAATTCTAAATGTCCTTGTTCACTTCCTATTAAAATTTTATTAATGTAAGTATTGGGATGCATTAAAGTTGTTATCTTAAAAACCTCATTATTAAAATTATGTTCAGAAATAATTTCTTCTGATTTTATATTCCAAACAATCACATTACTTTCCTCATCTACAGAAATTAAACTAGGTCCAAATGGTAATATTTGATGTACACAATGCTTATGTCCACGATAGACATGTTTCAGTTCTGTACCACGTCTCCAAGCATAAATATTACATTCACTTGCAGTGTAAATATGATAGATATCGGCAGACAAACAAGTGATATCTTCAGGATGAACACCAGATACACTTAAAAGAGAAAAATGAGAACATCCGTATGTATGAAAAGCTTTCCCAACACACGTAACAATTAAATTTTCTCTTCTTCTTTCAATATATCGAGTGACAAGAGGTATGTGATTACTCACATAACCTATTGCACGGTTTCGGTGATATATTTTACTTTTTACCATCGTTCACTTTTTTTTACAAATAAAATTAAATTATCAATGTATCATGATATTAATGATAATATTTTTTACTTTTTCTGTGATTTTCTTCACTTTTTGAATTAATTACTAGATTATTAATTATTTACAAATCGTAATAGAAGCACTCACTAAACACGTGGGAGACATATGTATATATAGTCGGACTGAGAAGAGAGTTTCTCAGTTGCTTCAATGCTTTCGGGCTTCCCACCACTGATTTCTTATCCCTTTTAATACGTTTTTCGCTACTGCGCGAGCGTACAAGAGCACATGAGGAACTCTCTTCTCAGCCCGACTATACTATAGTACGGAAGCTCCGTCTAGAGATGTGAATCGGTAATTGACGGGTAAATTTACCGTAAATTACCAGTAAAAAACGCGTCAATGACCAAGCCTGTTTTACCATACCGGTCAGAAAAATGCTGATCTCTGATTGGTTAATACATGTCCAATCACAGTTTAGAATTCCCAACGGCATACAACTGTTTATTTGTCTATCAGGTATATATTTTCATTTTTATTTGTTTATTAAAAATACTGATAATATTTAATATAAGAAAATTCAATTTGTAGATAAGGATTTTCATTGAGAACTTGGTGCAATGGGGGAGAACAAATCAATATATAAACATTTCTCTGCATTACCTCTGCAACCTAACCAAAAATCGTATTCATGTAACTATTGCAAGAAAAAGTATGCAGAAAACATTACTCGCATGCGAAAACATCTTTATAAAGAGTGTAGAAGTTGTCCTCAAGACTTACGGAAACTTTTAAAACCATGTAAACCTCGTAAACGAAATAATTCTCATCTAAACAGCACAGACGACTCATTTACTATTGAAGATTTGAATGAAGCAGACAATAGAGCAAGTACTTCAATGATTTCAAATGAAAATTTACCAAATAATATAAGTGTTTGTAGCAATAACTATAAAAAAAATACAATCGATAGTTTTTGTGATAAAATGTCAAAAAAAGATGAAGATTCTCTACAAGAACTACTTGCAGAAGCGATTTATGCATCTGGTACACCATTATGTATAACAGAAAATCCATATTGGCTAAAATTTTTTAACGCATTACGGCCTTCATTTAATTTGCCATCAAGAAATCAAATATCAAATAATCTTTTAGATTCAGTATTCGTTAGAACACAAAATATGGTTAATGAAAAAATTGAATCTGCTACTACTGTTGGAGTGCAATGTGACGCATGGTCTAATATTCGCAAAGAAGGAATCATCAATTTTATTGTAACAACCCCAGCGCCAGTTTTTTTCAAAACATTTCCAACTGGAACCGAATCACAAACTGCCTTATATATTTCTGAAAAAATAGGAAGTGTTATTGATGCTTTGGGAATTAAAAAAGTTATCGGAATTTGTACAGATAATTGTGCTGCAATGAAAAGTGCTTGGACTTTGATAGATCAAAAGTATAATGTCGACAAATTGTATTGTTATGGTTGTGCTGCTCACATTCTTAACCTACTCATGAAAGATATTGGTAGTCAAGCAATATTGGAAATATTTTTTCGGAAGAAGAAAAGCTGAGCATATATACTTGTTTAGAAAATCGTAAAACTATGGCTCTACGGCCCATACATTATGCAGCTAACTTACTTGATCCTCAATTAAAAGGAAAAAATTTAAATAGGTCAGAAATGGTTGAAGCTCATCAATTAATTATAAATCTTGGTGATAAATTAAATCTAAATAGTGATTAGGTATTCAAAGATTTAACAGATTATGTGTCAGAATCAAGTATGTGGAGTTACGACTACGTTAAGCGAGCAAGTATAATCACTTCAGCATGTCAATGGTGGCAAAGTATTTGCCAAAAATCTTCGTTGAGCAAAATAGCTGTGGCTATATTGACTTTACCTGCAACATCAGCTGCAACCGAGCGTTCCTTTAGTACACAAGGATGGATTCATTCATCTAAAAGAAATAAGTTAAGTATCGATAGAGCTGGAAAAATAACATACATTGCAAGAAATTTAAAATTACTTAATCCTTCACCAAAAAATACAGAAGAAGAATGGGAAGAAGATGAGGAAAGTAATAAAGGAGAGGATGAAATAAGTGAAATTTGTGCTGAGCATGAAGAAGTTGAATTTTTAGAAGAAGAATTTACTCAAGACTAATTAGTGATGTTGATGGAATTGAATCAGTATTAGACTTGTTATTTCCTAATGAAATATGTCAATTATTATGTGATATTACTAGTTGATAGAAACTATAGATTATATGGTTTTATTTTTTCATAAATAATTTACATAAAAGTTAAAAAAGTCAAATTCTTTATAATATGTAATAACGAAGGATTATCTATTTTATAAAAAAAAATGTACCAAAAACTTAACTAAATAAACGTTTATAATAATTTTCAATATATTTATTATTTCTGTCCTAACAGTCAAAAATGTAAAATATTTTTTTTATTACAAATTACAAAATTTTTTTTTCATCTTATAATAATTAATTAGTTTTAAATTAACAAGTGCAAAAAGCAAAATTAACATAAGCAAATTGGCAAGCAAGTTCGAAAGCAAGCCATTTCCTCGGTAAAAAGCTCATCATATTCATCTATATAGATGCGAATGACCGGTAATTTACGGTAATTACGCTGACCGACGGCTTGACGGTAAATTTTACATTCAGAATTTTTTGACGTCAGAATACCGTCAGATACCGTCAGATGGTGCCCTGCATTTTGGTGAGTAATTTGTGTATGAGTGTGTACGGGTAATATATATATGTCATGTAAACATAGTGTATCACTTTACAATGCCTTATACTTTGATGACTATTGCAGTTAGAATAAATGAAAATGATGATACTCATTTAGCATTAATTAATATCATATCTGCAAATAACTTTAAATACATATATTCATCCATTATTATCATTTTTATTAGGTATAAATGTTAATAAGGAAGCACAATTCCAAGTCGGCGTATCTAGAGATGTGAATTTACCGGTAATAGAAAATTCGGTAATTACCACGTAAAATTACCGGTATCTGACGGTATTCTGACGTCAAAAAATTCTGAATGTAAAATTTACCGTCAAGCCGTCGGTCAGCGTAATTACCGTAAATTACCGGTCATTCGCATCTATATAGATGAATATGATGAGCTTTTTACCGAGGAAATGGCTTGCTTTCGAACTTGCTTGCCAATTTGCTTATGTTAATTTTGCTTTTTGCACTTGTTAATTTAAAACTAATTAATTATTATAAGATGAAAAAAAAATTTTGTAATTTGTAATAAAAAAAATATTTTACATTTTTGACTGTTAGGACAGAAATAATAAATATATTGAAAATTATTATAAGCGTTTATTTAGTTAAGTTTTTGGTACATTTTTTTTTATAAAATAGATAATCCTTCGTTATTACATATTATAAAGAATTTGACTTTTTTAACTTTTATGTAAATTATTTATGAAAAAATAAAACCATATAATCTATAGTTTCTATCAACTAGTAATATCACATAATAATTGACATATTTCATTAGGAAATAACAAGTCTAATACTGATTCAATTCCATCAACATCACTAATTAGTCTTGAGTAAATTCTTCTTCTAAAAATTCAACTTCTTCATGCTCAGCACAAATTTCACTTATTTCATCCTCTCCTTTATTACTTTCCTCATCTTCTTCCCATTCTTCTTCTGTATTTTTTGGTGAAGGATTAAGTAATTTTAAATTTCTTGCAATGTATGTTATTTTTCCAGCTCTATCGATACTTAACTTATTTCTTTTAGATGAATGAATCCATCCTTGTGTACTAAAGGAACGCTCGGTTGCAGCTGATGTTGCAGGTAAAGTCAATATAGCCACAGCTATTTTGCTCAACGAAGATTTTTGGCAAATACTTTGCCACCATTGACATGCTGAAGTGATTTCTTGATGGCAAATTAAATGAAGGCCGTAATGCGTTAAAAAATTTTAGCCAATATGGATTTTCTGTTATACATAATGGTGTACCAGATGCATAAATCGCTTCTGCAAGTAGTTCTTGTAGAGAATCTTCATCTTTTTTTGACATTTTATCACAAAAACTATCGATTGTATTTTTTTTATAGTTATTGCTACAAACACTTATATTATTTGGTAAATTTTCATTTGAAATCATTGAAGTACTTGCTCTATTGTCTGCTTCATTCAAATCTTCAATAGTAAATGAGTCGTCTGTGCTGTTTAGATGAGAATTATTTCGTTTACGAGGTTTACATGGTTTTAAAAGTTTCCGTAAGTCTTGAGGACAACTTCTACACTCTTTATAAAGATGTTTTCGCATGCGAGTAATGTTTTCTGCATACTTTTTCTTGCAATAGTTACATGAATACGATTTTTGGTTAGGTTGCAGAGGTAATGCAGAGAAATGTTTATATATTGATTTGTTCTCCCCCATTGCACCAAGTTCTCAATGAAAATCCTTATCTACAAATTGAATTTTCTTATATTAAATATTATCAGTATTTTTAATAAACAAATAAAAATGAAAATATATACCTGATAGAACAAATAAACAGTTGTATGCCGTTGGGAATTCTAAACTGTGATTGGACATGTATTAACCAATCAGAGATCAGCATTTTTCTGACCGGTATGGTAAAACAGGCTTGGTCATTGACGCGTTTTTTACTGGTAATTTACGGTAAATTTACCCGTCAATTACCGATTCACATCTCTAACAGTGTCGACCATACTATAGCAAAAACCTAATGCCAACTAAAGCTTGGTAACTTCAATACTTTCATTGGCAACACTACTTTTTCACAACGACCAGCAAATTAATGATTGACTTTTAGAAAAAATAATGGATAATACAGGTAAATTGAGAAAATTATCAGATATACAAGTTTTTCGTTATGAAATTAAAAAAATTTTTTTCTCCTAGTAACTTTTATAAGCTGCCCTCTATCGAAACACAATAAAAGTAAATGTTCCATTTATAAAATTAGTCGACACAGTGTCAAACACAGAGCGGTTTTCTTTAAATGGAAAACGCCCATAGACAAGGAGTCCAATCTGCATAGGGTATCATACAGTACCGGACATAAATGCTGTTCAATTTTTTGACGGTTATACATGCAATTTCCCTATACTGTCTTATAGAAAATCACACAGCATTTATGTCCGGTACTGTACATACATATATAGGGAGCGTAAGATCTGTCCCCGTTTCATTTTCATTCCGCGACAATTTGCTTACCCGCGTAATTCAAATCAATCTATTAGACATTCTGAATATTTTATATTCTAACTGTCTTATTTAAGTTCATTTTTCATTCCAAATATTGAATTCCCGATTTAAAATATCAACTGAATAATTCTAATCATACATAATGCTTTATTCATTGAAATTATTCATTTTACTTGCTCTCTAGATATGTAATGAATGAACATAAAGCAAAATTATTTTGTAACCAGAAATTTAAATTACATTCTACCACGAAAAATGATGGCTGTTACGATATCTTATGTCGGTAAAAAAGAAAGTAATTCAACTTGTTACCAAAGCGAAGCAGAAGATGGCAGCATTTACTACTATTTAAAAATTTGGATTAAAATAATTTTAAAAATTGTATTGAAAACCAAACAATGAATTCTATTATTATTAAAAACAATTCATTTATTAATTATTCTCTTAATCATTTATTTTTTTTTTTGTTGATAACATATTTTAATCGAACTGGTAAACAGGATAATTGAACGGGTGAACAGGAATATACATATATATTATACATATACATGTATATGAAACTCTTTTCTCAATTTAACAGATAGACCAAATAAAGAAATATTTAATGTAAAATATCATCAACTGATTAATGTAGAACACAGACCTTAAATTATATTTTCTGAATTAAAAGATCAGCTCAAAATAAAGGTAAATTATGTTATTTGTACAATAATTAATTTTTCAGTTTTGCCGTTTCTTTAAAAAAAAAAAATAAAAATTAATTATGTAGGTAAGATAAGTGTAATAATTTATTTTATATTTATTTAAATAGTACCTCAGAATAATTTTCTACTATGTAAATTAATAAAAAATGAATTATTACATTTATCTTACCTACATAATTAATTTTTATTAGTAATTTTACCCATCATTCGAATTTTTTTATTCACTTCGATTAATTATTACAATAAACAACTGTAATTTTATATTCCAATTCATTATTCCAGTGTTTAATCTCACACATAAACTATAGGAACGGAATTGAGTAACATCGGTGTTACCGCCGGCCTAACATCGGGGTTGCGCGTAAACGCTTTAACAAACTTTTGTTAACACCGATGTTTAGTCTGCGCGTAAACATAGCAAGTAGGTACCAAAAATACTAAGGTACAGATGCTATGTTTACGCGCAGACTAAACATCGATGTTAACAAAAGTTTGTCAATGAAGCCGAGTATACCTACAATATATGTTCACACATTTTTGACAATTGGATTATTTAATGAATTGAATATAATATTTTAAATAAGAATAATACTTGTTTAAAGTAATTTTATTATTAAAAATCTATTAAATTGTTTCATTATAGAAACTTCAAAAATCTAAGCTTTCTTCGAGAAACAAAGTCTTGTTAAAAATGAATAAAAACAATATATTTTTTCATAAAATGAATAAAACTGTTCATATAATTTAATTTTTGATTAAAGTGTAAAATAAAATCATTGTAACGTGTGACATAAATATTAAATGAACAATGAAATAATGAAAAAATTAAAAATTATTCTATCATAATTTAGTTGAATTAACAGCCGTTTGGAGTCACTCTAATCATAAGCTTTTTGCAACAAAAGTGTAATGTTTATTTCTGTTAAAAAAAAATTAGGAATAAATGTAATCATCGTTGAATTGATAATTTGAACAATCTATAAATCATCTACAAATAAACCATTTTACGGGTTGTGAATAATAATATGTATTTTCATTTGTACATATGTATAACTCAAATGAATATCTTCAGAGTATTTTATACAGTGTAGTAAAAGAAGATAGTGACCAAAAAAGTAGTTAACATTATACCGCAGAGCGACCATATTCTGTTCTTTACATATATACATGCTACCTATTCCATAGCATAGTCACGAAGGAAGATTAAATATAGTTTAATTGCGTGAGGTTGATGACGGCGGGCAGTGATTTAGGTTTTCATCTATTGCAATCACAATTATGTTTAAGTTGAATTATTTAAACGAATAATTAGAAAAAAAACAAGTATTTTTGTGTCTAAAAGAATTGCAAAGTTGAGTCATTCAATTGGATCAAATGCAATTTATTTTGGCTAATATAAACTGACCAATTCACAGTGGGAGACATATCATGCGAGTCCACAGACTAAAGGACTTGGTTGTTTTTTGTTGGCGGATACAGTGGGATATCCACCCGTTGGGTGTGTGAATCACGCTTGAAGTTCTCATATGGGCGCTGGACTGTGGCTGTTTAATGATCAACACAGACCAACGACCAACATTGACCTAATATCACCAATCTAATTTCACTGATTGTCATCTATATCTGAAATGTTTGTCACATTACTAAATATTACTACTTCATCATCATAATTACCCTTTTCTGATAATTTCTGACTTCAATCTTATGAATAAGTCATTTTTAATTTGTGGACAATTTAAAAATTAATGGATTGTAAAATTTACTTGTCAAGAATTGCTTCTTATTGCCAAGTACCTATACTTTTTGATAATCTTCTTTTGTATAACTTTAATAATCACTTCCAACATACGTAATTGCTGTAAATTTATGAAACTTCAAAATTAATAATAATATATTTATTTAAAAGTAATGTGAATAATTTCATACGACATTCAAAACATGAAATTATATCTAAAATAGACTACAAAGATCCTCATGTACAAGTGCAATTGCCAACTTGTCGTTTTAATTGTACAACTGTGATTATTAATTATTACGATTATTTCATCTGAACATCTAATAGTTAAAATAGTAACACTTGTAGTTTGATATCAACAAACTTTCTCTATGGTTCAGTATTCATTAATCAACTCCATTGTGTGTGAAAGAAGATAGCAATAAGTAATAATTTATCAAAATCGTGTATATATCAATAATCAATCGCATTATAAATGATACGATTTTAAAACGATACACAGAAAAAATTTATGTTTAAGTTTTAGAAATTACATCTTGTGCCTAAAATAAAAATATAAAAATAAATATATATATATATATATATATATACTTACATACATACATACATACATACATACATACATAATATATATATTACAAAGTTATAAAAAAAGAAACTGTATAAAAAAAATACTAACATGTCTGATGAAGAGGACAAACCACCTGCACCTCCTGTTAGACTTACTTCGAACAGGTAATTTTTTTATCTTTCTTTTATTAGCAAACTTTTATTTCATGAAATCTAAAATTACTTATTGTGCCGAAATATTTTATATTATTTCATTATAAGTTCGATTGGAAGAAAATAAATAATTCAAAATATTTTTAACAATAATAAAATTTTAGAAAAGGTTTTTTGTTGTAGATTCTATCGAAATAGATTTAAAAGACATGGGTTTAATGAAAGTTTAAAATAGTCTCAAATAGCATCGATGCAAATAACAGTTTTGTGGGAACTTTTTTTTTGTTTTAGAACTTTTGTACATTTTTATTGAAATACTGTAAATGAATATTATTTTACAGAGGTGAATCGGCACCAAATTTACCGGTGGATATGCGTCCACTACCAAAAGAGCCAGATTCGGATGAACGAAAAAAGAAAATATTAAAAAGCAAAATCAAAGTTAAAGAAAATAAAGATAAACCAAATATTAGTTATCCTACTAATTTTGAGCATACCGTTCATGTAGGATTCGATGCTGTTACTGGTGAATTCACGGTACGTCTAGTTCTTTGCAATTTGATGATATTGTTTATGCACTCGCTTGCTGCTTTGCTATTGTATGAGAAAACGGAATATCCAATATTAAATATAATATTAAATTATTTCAAAATTAAATATATACATATATATAAGTTTATATTCATAGCAACATATTAGTTATTTACAAACAATTATTGAGTAATTGATCTGATGCTTTTTATTGTGTATTATTTTCTCATGTGTAAAACTAACTTTAAGACGTATTTCTTTCAAGCTGCCACTTAAAGTAAGTATATTTAAATAATCACAAAATGTTTATTTTATGCAATATAAAATATTGTTTTATTTTTAGTCATAATAAACCAATTTTTTTACGTTGCTATTAAATAATTTTAGTAAAATATCATGTTTTTTTTATTTTGTTGTTATTTGTACATAAATAAATTATGTGGACTGAAAAAAATTAATGCTTGAAAAACAGCTTTAGTCAACGTTGCTTAGGAGAATACATTTTTTATTAAAATTATTAATAATAATTAATTAAAAACGATTATGAAAATTTAATTAATTATAAATGAACGCAATAATTATAATTTTATTTACATGTTTTAGAAGACCGATGTTTTATGATGAAAATAATTGCATATTTCGAAATTGAAAGTAGAAACATAATGCATGATTAATGAAAAAATAAGATGATTGTAGTTATAGGTTTTTTATAATTTGATATTTTCAGTTACTAACTAAGATTATTATTCATTATCTTTCATTTGATCTCAGGGAATGCCAGAAGCCTGGGCAAGACTTCTTATGTCTAGTAATATCAGCAAACAAGAACAAAAGAAAAATCCTCAAGCTGTGCTTGACGTCTTGAATTGGTATGATAATAGTAGCAAAGAAGCAAAAGGATCTAAATATATGACAACCACAAAAATGGTTGTTGGTAAGTATCATTTTTAACATTAAAACAATTTCAAAATTATAGTCGTCAATTTTATGATAATTATTTTTCTAGCACCTATAGAAAGGGCAAGTAGCCCCCGCAGTATAGGAACGGGGATAAATATCGGCATTGGAAATATTCGTGGTCAAGCAATGTCTCAAGCTTCCGGTAGTTCTCATTCTCAACAATCTTTAAGCAGGTAAATTATTGAATAAATTTATATTTATTACATAAAAATTCATTTGATAAATCATTAATTTGTGTGTAGAGTTAGTAGTAGTAGTCCAAGTAGTACCCCTACTGATGCTTGTGCAACGAGTTCAGAACAAGAAGATGAACCACCACCACCTATTTCTGCAAGACCTGAACGCACGAAATCAATTGTAAGATTTTAATACCTTATTTAACTGTTTTTAAATCAATTGATTGATTTTTTCATCTTAGTATACAAAACCTATCGAAGAAGAACCATCGTCATTATCTTCCATTCCGACATCTCTGAGTTCTCCACAACGTAATGGTACCACACCGCAATCACAGATACAATCACAATTTGACAAAAATAAAAATCAAGCAACACCCACCATAACTGATCAATCACGGCTTGCACAAAGTGATAAAACACGTAAGAAAAAAATGTCTGATGATGAAATATTAGAAAAGTTGAGAACAATTGTAAGTGTAGGTGATCCCAATAGGAAATACACAAAAATGGAAAAAATTGGTCAAGGGTAGCTACTTTTATTTATATCAATTAACAGAAAAGTGATTAAATGAATTTCGTTGTTAATAATATTTCAAAATATTACAGTGCTTCTGGAACAGTTTATACGGCGATCGAAACATCAACTGGGATGGAAGTGGCTATAAAGCAAATGAATCTTTCGCAACAGCCGAAGAAAGAGTTGATAATAAATGAAATTCTTGTAATGCGGGAAAATAAACATCCAAATGTTGTAAACTATCTTGATAGTTATCTCGTAGGTGAAGAGTTGTGGGTAGTAATGGAATATTTACCAGGCGGTAGTTTAACTGACGTTGTAACAGAAACATGTATGGATGAAGGACAAATAGCTGCTGTATGTAGAGAAGTCTTACAAGCACTCGAATTTTTACATTGTAATCAAGTTATTCATAGAGATATCAAGTCTGATAACATATTGCTTGGATTGGATGGTGGTGTAAAACTTACTGATTTTGGTTTTTGTGCCCAAATTTCGCCTGAACAAAGTAAAAGAACAACTATGGTTGGAACACCATATTGGATGGCACCTGAAGTAGTTACCAGAAAGCAATATGGACCTAAGGTAAATTTTGTAATAAAAGTATTCAAGTTTAGATATTTTTTTTTAAATATATATATTGGTAATCATTCGATGATTATTAGGTAGATATATGGTCACTCGGTATAATGGCTATAGAAATGATCGAAGGAGAACCACCATATTTAAATGAGAATCCTTTAAGAGCACTTTACCTGATTGCGACAAATGGCAAGCCTGAAATTAAGGAAAAAGAAAAATTATCGGGAATTTTTCAAGATTTTTTAGATCAATGTTTAGAAGTGGAAGTAGAAAAACGGTCAGCAGCTTCTGAGTTATTGAAGGTAAGTTAAAAGTTGACAAATACAGAATATAAAAGAAATAATTAAATTATGATTGATCATTTATATATCATTATGTTTTAGCATCCTTTCTTAAAATTGGCTAGGCCTCTTGCGTCACTAACACCACTTATTATGGCTGCAAAAGAAGCAACAAAAAGTCATTGAATTCTTTAACATGAATTAAAATTATAAATTTTATAAAAAAAAAGTTTACCCTCCCAAAAAGGTAACAGCACAATAATTTAATGAAATATATTATGATTGAAGCATAGTGTATTTATAGTTTGTTCAAAATACGATATTATAAACGGTATTGAATTATGAGAACTTCAACGTTTATAACAATACAATGTATTTTCATGTGATATGAAAATGTTGTATTGAAATTGTACAATAGGTAGTAATTTAGTTGAGAAAAAAATGACCTGAAAGTCGTCCAGACTAATAATCAAGTCAATCTATGTCATCTTCGAAGACTTATTCATTTAAATCATTGTCCTTATTTTATTAATATGTTATTAGACTAGTACTGTATTGTAAGATTTCGTGTTAAGATACATAATAATATTGGATAGAATTTTTCCACCTTGGATTTCTATTTTTGAAAATGACAAAGGAAAATCCTTCTTTTTAGTTACACACGATAATATAAAATAGTGAATATATATGTTATTCTGAAATTTTGGAAAATTGTATTTATTTCTATATGATTTTATTAGAATATCGCTTAGGAATGAAAGAATCAAGTTTCATGAATTTTTGGGTCATTAAAACGTAAAGATGATGTGACACTTTTAAGTGCCTATACGTCACGTTTAGATAAATATATATTCATGTAAAAATATGATAGTTTCCTGAGTACTTTTTTTTATATTCTATTAATATACGTAAAAAATTAATTTTCTGAAACAAACCTTTCTTTTAACGGTTTTCTGTATACGATGAACCATTTTTTTAACTTAATTATTTTGTTTTATATATATAGTTCATAAATCTAATCTTACAATGTTCAAACTATTATTTAACAATTTCGTGAATGTGAATGACAGTGAAATACCAAAATAATATTTTTTATAATGTGAAATATAATTTATTAATTTTACAATCATTATCGATACAAATAATTTTCGTTATTTCTAGATTACAAATGAGCAATATTTGTAAAAGAAACTTGAAAAACATGAGATAAAGATGTGCTTCTACTGTCGTTAAAAGTGTATCATAATTAATAATGCTCATTGAAATCATTTTTATATGATTTGATCAATTTATCAGGTATATATATATATATAGATATATATATAAATTGAATTTGGTATTATGCATATGTGAAATGAGTATATAAGGCCCTACTATCCAAATAATTTCCACTCTGCATTTTCAAAAATATCTAAAGTAATTCGAATGGTATTAATATTCAACCTATAATCATTCATTATCTTTTCTCATTTATTTTTTTTTGTATAACATACATTTTTTAAATCCATAGAGCTTAAAAATATTTAATATTTTTCTTTGATAAGCAAAAAAATTACTAATTAATTTAGAACGAATTTATTAGATGCGTAAATCATGACAATAATTAAAAAGATGCATTTAAGACATACTATTGCATTATATATTTACTATATGCATTTATTAATTACGAATTTATTACTAAACAAGATGTATTATCAGCATTATAATAACTATTATTAATAGTATTATCATTATTATTAATACTTTGCTAATAGCGTGAAACAAAAAGAAAACCTTTATGATGTTTCTGAAAATGCTCAGAGAACTTCATAAAAATAAAGTTCGGCCTAGCAAAAATTACGTTATTAATGTTTCATCTTTGATAATGTATGATAAAAGTTGTTTTGAGTATTATCGTGTCAAATTTGTAATACTGTATAATTATAAACTATTGTAGTTAAGTGATAAAGCTTGATTTTGCAAGAGTCAATTTTGTAATCCACAAATTTCATAACGTAGATAAATCGATCAATAACAAATTGTATAATGAATTATTGTAAAGTGTAAAAAAAATGATTAGCAGCTACAGTATAATTTTCACATATTTCTGCTTCATTATTTTCTTTTTTTTACGTAAAACAGTACAAAAATTTAAAACCATTTTTTATTAGTTTAAAAAATTGTCCTTTGAATTACTCAGTACGAATTTTTAAACTGTATGTCTAATTCAATAAGTTCAATTGAAGTGCTATTTTTTCTATAGAAGAGTTTTTTATTTGATTTATAATAAAAAATAAATAGAGGTATTGTATTTTGGACGTGATTACTTAAAAATATTTTTTTTATTCCACTATTATTACATCATTTATAATTAATTACAGTTGATATTTACATCGTAAAGTACAAAAAATAAATAGTTTTGAAACTTAAAAATATTTTTTAGTAACATCATTGATTTCATTTTAAATGGCAAATTTGATCATTTTTTTATATTAGAAGTTGAATATTTTGTGAATATAAAAAAATATATTCATCGAAAATGAAAATAAATCAAACAGCTCATCTTTTTAGATAATTTGGAAAAACAGTCAAAAGTTATAATAATATAATATATAGTATTTTTTATAAATGTTTAATTATGAGTTATTACATTTTTCTTCTCCAGTTTCATGGAACTTGATAGATGCGGAGTTGATGCAGAACCGCGTTCGTGTTGGTTTAGGTCCATCGTTGAATACGTGGCCTAAATGAGCGCCGCACTTGGAACAGGTCACTTCAGTTCGCACCATATCTGGGTTTGCGATCAGCAATAGTAGATTGCCACCAACTGGCAGGTATACACGTCGAATATCGACGCGTTTTTTCGTTTCGATGATGAAAAGGTGATGGGGACAAAGGAAATACAGAACAATAGAGTGTGATTAAATTGAGACCTACACCTTTTTTTAATTTAATTATTTTTAAATGAAATAAAAGATTTAAGGCGCCTCCAGCGGAAATATATAAATATATAAAAGTATATGGACCTTTGCGCACTAATTTTAGGCAAATGAATAGATAACATAAGAAGATATATGTATGAAAAGATTCGCGCAACAACAATTTATGGAATGAAACGAGATGAGGACAATTAGATGAAGAATAAGTGAAATATCCGAAATTAAAAGTCTAAAGCGATTTGACCGATTGTTTTTCATATTTCTAACTCTTACTCGTTTACATATGGCCGACCAAAATCTAACATTAATTGACGATATCTTTTAAAAATGCTATAAATTAAGCAGTTGTCTTGATTTTATATAAAAAGTATTACATATGACAATAATTATTTAAATCAAAATAACTTAAAAGAGATTGAAAAGACACAACAAAAACTATTTTGATTGCCATTAGTAAAAATAGTGGTAAAAATAGCAAAACAATCAATAATGAAAGAAAATAAATTATTACTTCTAATAGACTCTAGTAAAAAATAAAATTTAGATTTATTTATCTATTAATACATGAAATATTTTACACGATGTAAGTCTACTACAATCACACTCTAAACACGTCTTACATGCAGGATATTAAGGCAACTGTTTTCTTTGAAGATTTTTTTAGCTACTTGTTAAAACAGCAATTGTCATTACATGCCTTGTAGAAAAATGAAATAAAATTAATATTATATTTAAGTTTATGAAAATTATTTTCAAAACAATTAAGTAGTTATAATATTAAAGTATAGTAACAATATATAAAAATTAATAACTGTAGCTAAAAAAAAATGAGAGGATTGATAGGAAATAATAGAAGGAAGTAGTGAAATATATTCGTAATAAATGTGTAACTGTCGTACGATTAAGTACTAAACTTACCATGTGAAGTATCTTTTGTTAATTTAACTCTTCCTTGATCCAAAACTTGATTGAATGCTGGCCAGCCACACCCACTATCATACTTAGTTTCTGATGAAAATAATTCTTGATCACATACAATGCAAGTATAAGTTCCTTTTTCATAAAATTTATTATAACATCCTGTGAATGGTCTAAAAACAGATATAAATAATAAAAACACAAAATATCGAATGAATAGAAAGACAACATACATATGTATATATTTGTAAGCATAATTTGAATGTTATTTTTATAATTCTTGGCCCTGAACAGCAAGTAGTCATGACGAACACATGCACTTGAAAAAGTTATTTCTAGAGTTGAATGTGTCATTCACTGTCCACTGAACATGACAATGACACATTTAAAATCATTATATATAATACGATAATAAGTTTTTATTGTTGAACATTTTTTCGTAAATCTAATTACATTGATTGTAAAATTATTCGATATAAAGAAACCTACCTCTCTGTACCTTTTTCTTGTGTTACATGCCACTGTAAAGGAGTTAATCGTTTTTTCAACTCCTCCTTTGTGTTTATATCAGTCATTTGGGGCAATTTTTTTACAGACTGCACAGCTACAGCTACTCGTGAAACTTGTGAACCCAGGATGATAAAAAGAAAGTGCTGAAGTTCCCGAAAAAACAGTTATACTGAGTGTTGATCTATTATATGCTCACCAATTCTTTAGCTCCCCACTCACTCCAATGTTGTCCTTTCCTGTACTTTAACGATTATATTGTATATTATACATATATAAATATACGTAAGAGTAGACATATATATAAACGTATAGATACATATATACATGTATATATAGATACATTCACATGTGTTATACACTTACATACACTTACATCCGATTGGCTAGAAGTTAAAAATGTATATTAACTACCAATAAATTTATATGTATAATATAAATGGAACCAGTATGTACATATAATTGTGTACATAAATACATTAATATTTTTTTATTATAAACAAATTTATGAAAATTTTAATTGGAGTAAAGAGCATAAGACAAGTGAACGTAAAAATATACGTGTACATATACTTTTATACTAATTTTTTGTAATTAAGTTAGTGCATAAATAAACTATGTGGAAATATAAAGTAGTTAGTGTTTCAAATCACATATTTCCAGGTTTAATGTATTATGATCGTGATAAAAAATTTTATGATACAGGTTAAGAATAATATTAATTAATTTCATTACTCTAACACTAAATTTCTTCATTAACATTATTTAAATTTATAAACTAAATACAGTTTCAGGAAATCTGATCAAATCAAATGTATTACTCCAAATGGTATTATATTTTAATGTATGGCTGTTTCCTATTTGGTTTTTCATAATGTTTTTGGGATTAGATGCTAAGGTAATACATTAATAGCTTTTTTTATATATTTTATTATTAATGATAATTGATAAAACGTATCTCCTAGTATTACAACTTAAGCAACATATATCGATGCCTCAATATCAGTACTTATACATTAATCAGTATTATTGAATGTATCAAGTTATATTTAGGATATATTGGTAATTTATCGGAAAAGGTAATTTATTTAATAATTTCAAATATATAAAATGAAGTTAATTTAAATTTGTAATTCAATGAATATTTAATTTTGTTATATTATTTTAGATTCCTGAGTTGGCTAGTTTTTGGTTCATATCAACATTACTTCAATTTCCACTATTGATGTTTATATTATTAGAAGGAAATATGTTATCATATTTCATTGAAAAAATTACAACTGGAATGATGATTACTCTATTGAGTATTGAAATTATGTCATGTACCATGACTTTGAATAATATTGCAGCACATAACTTGAAACAATTTTATGCATCACAAATTTGTAATATTGACAAAAATTCGAATGGCCGTTAGCTTTAAATCAGTATTGAAAAGAAGAATAAATTGGAAAATTTATGAAATTACATCCAAATTATTATCATTTATGAAAAATTCCAGATTTATCAAGTTAGTTTTTAGTCCATTTGTAAAATATTCCATTGCTTGAAGAACTTGCTCTTCCCTATTCGGTAAATCATTTGCTAATGCGAGCATCAATTTTGATTTGGTTGGAGCCATTCTAATTAAAAGCTATGTTAGGTAATAAATAATTAAGTAAAAATAAATTTTTAAGTAAATAATACGAAAAAAAATAATAGATTTTCATATCATACACTAAATAATTGAATAGCCATCCAATCATGGTAAGGCTCTAATGATTTTTTATAACTATATCTAATGTTGGCTCCTAGATCTTCAATAAATTCGCCTGTTTTTGAACTCTTTACTATTTCTTCAATGAATAACATCACCATTTTCAATCCTCTACAAATCCAAAGTGATAATTACCCATAAATAATTCTATAGGTAATATTATATAAAATTACTAAGTCAATTAAATTGAGTAGTAAAATTTTCACCTTAAAAGCCAAATTAAAGAATCTGTTACGCTCATTTTTTTACTGTAATTTTTTTCTGATAAAATAAGATCTTGAATAGTTGAATATTCTCTTACATTAGCTTGATATTTTTTCATAATTTTCTACAATAAATTAATCAATCAGATGATGTTGATCAACGATAATATATTACATAGATTATAAGTTTACTTAAATAAAACAAAACTTGTACAACCTATTACTTTACCTCAACATTATTTTGAATGATGTATTTTATTGGTGTAAAAATTTTGTTGACTTTATCTATAAAGTATAATTGTTGTATGATACATCATTAAGAATCGTAATTTTAGTGAGACAATTATTTATTGAAACATAAACATTTTATACCAAGAACTGCTGCAGTGGCTAGGGATGCATCTAAAAATTTTTTTGTATCAATTTTACCATTAATCACTTCTGGAAATGTAATTAAAATATCACAATTATATTTTTTATCAATAGCTTTAAATTTACAAGTATTATTATTTAAGCCACTTGATGCCATTTTTAAATAAATAATAGGTAAACTACATAAAAGCATCAAAGATATATTTTTGACATTTATTGTATGTTTAATAGCTTAATATTGATTATAAGTAACAAATGAATTTGTTAAAATAAATATACAAATGTTTCTTTACATGTTCTTTTTTTTTTATTTCCAATTTAGATTAATATTAATCTAACAAAATAATACTGTACATCGAATTTTTAATATGTAAGTACGAATCATGACTAGTAGTAACCAGTGTGCTTACTGTATTATAATTATAAAAATTAATAAATTCTTTAAAATTACTGTTATTTTATTATATGAAATATAGCCTTTTCCAATTATATATATTGTCGCATATACTTATTTATTTGCACCGTTATATAAGAATTAATTTTTTTCTACATAAATATACTATAAAAAAAACTTACAAAAACATATTTTATAAAATAAATTTTTCTTACCAACACAATCAATAAAAAGTTTAACTCTATTTAAGTAGAATGAATTCCATTATTGATGGTTTTGAGTATTGCCTTTACTATATAAAATTTTAAAGCAATATATTGCTATAGCGAGGCTGAGGTTTAATTTCAAGGCAAGCTTAATTATGTCCGATACGTAAAGTTTACGATGAGGTAAATAAATTTGTAAATTGATTGCAATATTTAAAAAGCAGTTGGAAGTGGGGATTTAAGTATATTACCTGCTGAGTCCTCAGCAAACAATGTCAGAGAAATATAACAATGAAATGATGACGGAAGTGGAACGAGAGCTTCTGTTGGAGGTCGTGGTCCAGGAAATTGCCGATAATTCAAAACCATTCCATTAGATAGTTCTCTCAGTTCAATAATGCGTATTCCATAACATGATCTTACAACATTTCTAAAATAAATATTTCAATTGTATTAATGACAACTACATTATAAGATATAATTGATAAAAATGAAATTAAAATTTACTTTTCTTACCGTTTAATATTATACTTGATTTCATTAGTATTTCGATGTACACGATTATTATTATCAAGTGTGTTATTAAACCATCGATGATAGGCGAGAATTGTTGCACATGAAGGCCCCCAAAAAATTTTATCACATAGCAAAGATTCAGAATCAACTTCAACGGTCAAACTATGAGAAAACGATTTATGTATTACAGGACTTGCAGGTGCTGACATTCGTCCAACTAGATTTTTATCAATAAAATTATCATTCATTTTAGTAGTAGTTTCTGACATTAATCGTCCTCTTCTAGAACTTACTCCATTATGATCAATAGTTACTGTAACACTTAAAGGTTTGCTAAGAGTAACAGTAGTATGTTGTGGATCTTGTCTTATATTGTTAGAATTATTGTTGATAGTAACAGCTTCTTTACCAACAAAAACATGATCGACATAGTTAAATCCACGACCCATAATTCCTTCACGTGTATGGCCTAAATCAAATGTATGACCAAGTTCATGAAGAACTGATCCAAGGGTTGTGGCTAAACAACCTCCATGAGTACCTCGATAATTACTATCATCCATCAATTGATCAGTATCAATTATTGATGTATCTAAAAACTTATTTAATACTTGATTAAGAGATGTTGGCCATGTATGAAGGCATGCTGAACCGAAAAGAGCTAAACCACCACCCCCAAGAGCAGCATGTCCTTGAGTACTAGCTAAAGTTGCTTCATGAGTCCTTGGACTAGGAGCACCTCGATATTTTGTGCAAGAAAGAAAAGCTAAATATTTTCGGTCTTTCGAAGCAAGAGGGCCTGTCATGAGTTCACGACCAACAAACTCCCATAATTCTCGTTGGTTCATTGCTCTAGCACTATCAACATGAAGCATGCTATGCATTACTAAACATTCAGGACCATCAAGATCTCGTTCTAATTGAAAAGTTTTCCGTCCATGTCCAGCTTCTCTTAATTTTTCTGCAGTTAACGATTGCAATAGTCGAGCTCCTAATCCAATTCTAGTTGCTGCACTTTCTGGTGATTTATCTTCGTTTATTGGACCTTGAAAATATCCATCATGACCAGCACAAATAACATAAACTGGTGCCACTCGAAATGTTGTTGATCTTGGCTCATGTATTAATATTAATCGTTTGATTATTCCATTAGCTTCTAACTCTAATTTATTTATTCCTCGTACGAGATCTACTAAAATACGAAATTCTCCAGCTATTATCGGCCATTTATTCACAATATTTTTATGAGTACCACGAACATTCATATAAGTACATGGTATTGATACTTTTCCTCGAATTAATATCAAACTATATGTTATTATCTCACCATCCTCGATATTTTTTATTGTAATACTTTCTGAATTACTGTCCTGAGTAATTGATTCATTATTGTAATAATTATCTACTAATTTTGTGTCTGTTAGCACCTGTAAGTAAATTGATTATTAAAAATATAACTTAATATATATTGCATTATTCTATACTATTTATTTGTTTTACAAATAAAAGATTAATAAGTTCGATTTCTAGGAAATTGAAACAAATCACTTTACGTATTAATCGATACTTACATCTACTGATCCTATTTTTTTTTCATTTAATGATATGTGAAATATGTGAACATGAAAATGGAGTACTTAAAATGTAAATTAATTATTGATGTTTTTATTATATAAAATCGATAAAAAAATGATTAAAAAATAAAAATACCATTTCAATAAATTGATTATTAAAAAATAATTTATCAGATTCTTACCATAATTATAAAATTGCTAATAAAATATATTAATTATTCAATTTCACTCAATTACAATACTGATTCACAATAGTTTTTTTATAAAATATTTTCTATTTTGTCTTTCTCAATTTAATAATATAGGATGAAAAATTTTTACTATTAAATACCAAAAGCTGAATTTTTTCTGAACATTCTATTATCGACAGAACACTGAGGTAGCGTTTATTTGTGTTTTTGGACGTGTTTTCAATGTGAATATTCTATAATTTAAGTGACATCAACTATAGTTTTACTAGTTAATATTGTTTGAAAATTTCAACGTATCCCAATTTACACATACACATCTATATTTTCATATTTATATCGATAATAATATTATCTATATTGGAAATGGTAAAAGTACAAAAAACGAGGGAATCACAGAAATAACTGAACTATATTTATCGAGTAGTGGGTTGCATGCATATAATACATATTAAATTGTACATGTTGAACAAATTTATTCAATTTCTAATTAAAATTAGAAAATTTAAGCTGCATCTTAATTATTTAAATTTAGATTATAAATGACATTTTAATAAATAAATACGGATAAATTTCAAATAGATTAGATTAGATTTATTGCAAGGAAAGTACAATATTTGTAAACAAATATCTGTGTACAACAACTTTCTACCTTGGTGGAATGTCAGCATAAATATATTCTAAAATGTCATAGCTATTCACATACATCATCATAACCTATCCAACATAACAAATCATTGAAAACTCTTATACTTATTAACAGCTAATATCTTTTCTAGCTGCTTATCAAAATTCTTGATTAACACACAAATGGCTTTAATTAGTGGACCGCCATATGCTTGCGCTAAAAGCCAGAACATATCTGGTTCATTAGTTCCATCCAATCACTCCTGGTCACTGTTTGTTAACTAACACCCTTGCATTCCTACATACATAAATGTACTCATTTTTTCATTTCTATTCCCACACAACATTCATGATAAATTTACGTTTAAAAAATTTGCAATTTATCTGGCAAAGTATTATTCTATTTATATAAAACTAAATATTAAATTTTATTAGCAATAATTATTTTATTAGGTTTTTATTAATTTTAAATAAAAATTAATAATAAAAATGAAAACTAATCAAAAGTGAAATAAAAAATGGAATATACATATACATTACTGTGGGCATGAGGATTAAATTTATTTTGTGAAACTAAAAGATACTTGTAAAAAATTCAAATACATGAAGAAATACGGATAAAAAATGATAGTTAATTATTACAGAAAAGCCAATGCACTTGTATATTGCAGAAAGATATCTCGAGGTTAGCGACCGTGAAAGTAGGTACTCCTCGCAAGTAGGACAGTCATTTTTAAAAATTGTTGCAACGATTGCATGCGCCCACAACTGACCTATATCTTTACGAGGTCGATGCACTAAGGGAGCGGCGTGTTTCATGTTAAATCACCCTCATAAATTTCATCTTGTATATTCATCTTATTTTTGTATTTAACAATAATCAAATACATGAACAACATTCACACTTTTTAAACTTTCATTTGAACATTTTTTCTAAATAATGCTCTTTTTAGCTAAAAAATTTCTCATTTTCAATTAATGTTGATAAAGTATAATTTACAAATAATCTTAACTCACTACTGTAATTACATTTTAAATGATATACATTTAGTTAAAAATAAAAATTTAATTTTTATAACATTTCTGATGCTGTTAAATTTAGTATAAATGTTTAATATATTATTTTTTTGTTATATGTATATTTTAATTGTATAATCGTCTACTTGACCGTAAACATCAAAAGTAAGTCGTAATAGATACAAAACAAAAGTGGGAGAAAGTTTAAAGGCAAAATCAAAGTATGTATTTGAAAGAAATAAGGAAGCAATGTTAATGAGAATTGATTATTGTTAGTATCACACAGTAGCATGATAACGCACGGTGAAAGCAGCTTCGTGAGAGTTCATTTTGAGACTTACATTTCGTGATCTTTTCATCATTAAAGTCATATGGTCATTGCCTAAAGATAAGTTTAGTTTAAGTGAAAATTTTTAAAATATACTTGTCATGAATTATTCTCTTATTAATAATTTCAATATAAGTAAAAACTTTATTATATTCAAAAATATTGTATAATTAAAATATCGTTAGAGAATCTTTAAAAAGAAATTATTCAAATGTCATTATGTGTCGGTCAATTTTTTATCTTGGTATCGATAATGAAACTTGGTAGAACCGTATAATACTATAAATTGATTGTTTATAGTAGATAAACGTAGTTAATGATTAGCATACTACAATAAAAATGGAAGATATGCGATGCGATGCGATACAAAGTTGGAGAGTGAACGACGACGGTGAGAGTAGGCCAATGTCAGTGTCAGTGCAGCCTGGCTAGTTAGCCTCTCGATAAACTTGATCGTGAAAACAGAAAAACGACGGCGTACATATTATATATGGAGACGTCGATTACGTCCTTTCTTTCAACAGATTTATTTATAGAATCTTGTTAATTATATATGTACTTTTTTGCACCAAATGATTTGATTTTGGGTTGTCACAAAATATTGATACTGCTTTAGTAAGATTGAGTACAATAATAAGTTAAAAGACGACTTAATATACAAGTAATATTAGCGATATTTAATCTTACAGTTATTTAGTTGACGAAAATACGACAATGATGCAAGAGTTTACAGTCACAAATTTATAAGCCGAGGTCGGCAGAAAAATTTTAAATTATCATCCTACACAGTAGAATGAATTTTCACGAAAATAATACATAAATTTTCGACTTATAATATTCAATCGGAGAGATAATTAATAGTTTCATTTATTTTTGTTCGTCTCCAAAAAGGATACTCCATCAATAGTATAAAATTTAGGCCTACGTTAACATTTTCCAAATAATTTTTTATCTTAAACTTTTTCTTTTTCTTCTTGTTGTATAAACGTATATATATATATATATATATATATAAAAATATAAAATTGAAAGAAAGTTCGACGGCTCTTACATTTTACGTAAGCATGATAAATTTTGAAACATTTTTGGCATTGACAACGATGGCGACATGACCAATAGGCAGACACACTCTCAAAATGTTGATTGAGAAATTTAAAAGTTTCCTGAAAAATTTTTCATAGCATTATAATGTTATTCATACATATTTCAATTTTTGTTTTTTTTCTCGTTTCAAGACATAATATATATATATATATATATTTATATTATAGATAGAATCAAAATGATAGATAAAGTTTCATTATCATGTGTATGTATATAAGTTAATAAAAATATCAATATTGAGAGAATTTCAAGAGAAACTACATTTATCGTAGTAATGTCTTCCCTGTCGCTACATAAATTTTTCATTACGCAAGAATGTTAACTTGTTAGTCTGAAAACGAGTGTATAAGTTAGCCGCAGTAGTAAGATCAAATATATTTATGATATTTGCACATTTAATAAACACTATCATATAAATATGAAAAAAATGCAGTAATGCTATTTTTTTTATAGTATACGTATAAAGAAAAGAGAAATTTCAAGACTTCCAATAAATATAATTGATAAAAGAAATTGAGTTATATTTGGATGAATATTTCTTCACAGTTCGCAGTTTGCATATATTTTCATCGGCGCATGGATTCTACGAAAGACTGAGTTAGCCTTGACATGATGATAGAAAGTGAAACAGGTCAAGTTTTTGGCATATAATCTTGTTTAAAACGTGAATCTAAAGTATTTAAAAATATGTTTCAATAAATTCAATTTACTTAATAATTATATAAGCACAGTGAATATTATCACCATTATATACAGTGTATGACATGTCAAATGAACACGTGAATTATATAAAATATTAATAAAGTATCTGGTGATATTCACAAATTAAGAATATCAAAGATTAAGAGACACCAGCGAGTATATCCTTGACCTGTAGAAAATATGTAATTTCAATAAAATAACTAAAATATTAATTCTTTGAGTAATCTTGATTAATTTTATTCTTTTTTTTGTAGAATATTTTTGATAATAAATTTTGATGAAATTTCTACATCAATTAATTGTAGTAATTTGGAACAAATATTTATCATAATTCAATTTATAATACTGTTATCAATTGGTTGATGAATAAATAAAAGAAATGAATCAGTCATTCATTAGTCATTATGTCTAATTGATCAACAATATATAAAATAATAGACATTATTTGCATTGGATTATGATTATCTAAGTAGTAATAATAAAAAATAAAAAAATTATAGCGAATGAAAGTGAAATCAGATTTCTGATAAATTCACGGCCTTGAATACATTATAATTCAAATGATGTAATAACATAAATATTATATACAATTAATTAAACAGCAATTCATTTTTATCATTAAAAAATACTCGTTGTCTACTGTGTGATAGTTGAAAAATTTGCAAATTTCATGTGAGAAACGTTATCCTTTTTCGGAGATAGACAGACTTTCAGCTTATTCATGTTTCGTCTACCTTGAAATTCTTTATTATCGTGACTTCCGTCCGGTTTTACTATCGTTTATAATTTTTTCTCATTCAGTTAGTATATCTTTTTCAGTTCTGTCAATTACTTGTTGATAAGCTTTTTTTTAAAAAACTTATAATAAATTGATATATTTATAACTTAAGTAGAAAATATCGGGTATAGGTCAGACTATATTTCTACACAAAAAGAAACATTGAGTAAATATTACTCTGCAATTGAGGGCAATCCGGGGTACCCTGCCCAATTATAGTAAAATTTACCCTACAAAATGGTAAATTTTTTTTTTGGTGTGTCAAAGTTCTTCTCTTTCAGGGAAAATTTTACTATCATACATGGTAAAATTTAACCGCGTATCCGTATTGCCCTGAATTACAGGGTAATTTTTACTCAACTCTTCTTTCTGTGTAATAAGGATCAATATAATTTTGAATCGTATTAAAACGATATTATTGCTATAATTAGAATTTTTCATAACTTTTAATTGTTAAAAGTTATTATCAGTATTTGAAATAATACGAATTTCAAAATTATTCATTTTTTCACATATAAGTGTCAGTCAGATGTTTGATAAAATGATAATAATAGTCGTAAATTATCTCAAAATATACACTGGACTGCCTGCTGTTCTCTGATTTAATAATT